CCGGTCCAAGTATTTATGAAATACTCTGTTCATCAAGTCCATAAATGCCACTGGGGCGTTGGTTAGCCCGAACGACATAACTAGGAACTCGAAATGACCATACCTCGTGCGGAATGCACTTTTTGGTATGTCATCCTCCTTTATCTTCAGTTGGTGGTACCCTGACCTCAAGTCAATCTTCGAAAATACCGTCGCCCCTCGGAGCTGATCAAACAAGTCATCAATCCTAGGCAAGGGATACCTATTCTTGATTGTGACCTTGTTCAGTTGACGATAGTCAATGCACATTCGAAGTGTTCCATCTTTCTTTTTCACGAAAAGGACCGGTGCTCCCCACGGGGAGTGACTCGGCCTTATGAAACCGTTATCCAATAGCTCTTGCAATTGGGTTTTCAATTCGTTAAGTTCAGCGGGTGCCATTCTGTATGGCGGTATAGAGATTGGTTTGGTGCCGGGTTCAACCTCGATCACGAACTCAATCTCCCTATCGGGTGGAAGTCCCGGCAAGTCTTTTGGGAAGACATCCGGATACTTGCACACTATCCTCACATCATTGATGTCTACCTCCTCTTTGGTTTCGTCTACCACGTATGCTAGATATGCGTGGCATCCCTTTCTCATCATATTCCTCGCCCTCACGGCGGATATGATACAACTGTTTGATTTGCCTCTATCTCCCTCAAAGCGTAAGGTCAACCCTTCGCCGCTTTCGAGTTCAAGAATCTTTGTGTAGCAATCGACCCTAGCATGATGTTTCTCAAGCCAATCCATCCCGAGGATTGCATCAAACTCGATCATACTCAGCGGTACGAAATCACACGTCAATTTCTGTCCCTCCACCTCCACCTCACATGATGGATATTGGCTATCTCTTTCGATATCATCCCCTAGAGGCGTGGATACCAATAGGGTTTGAGTCATCGGTACAAGTGCTCCGTTGAATCCGCTGGCGAACGCCTCACTCACAAAAGATCGTTGCGCCCCGGTACCAATAAGGATCCTTGCGTCTCTCCCGTTTATCTTTAGTGTTCCTACATTCATAAGTAATGTAAGGCACACTATCTCTTTAATAGGTTTGTTTCCTAGGTCGTAGAGTGCGTCGATCATGTTTCGGATGAAGACCACCCAACCCCATACAATAACTCCCCGATTTCTAACCTTGAGAAGCATCTCCGGACTCGTTTGGGTGAAAGCCGGCCGCTTTTCATGAAAGCCGGCCGGTTTTCATGTGTCCGGCACGTCTCGTTACGTAAGCCGGCCAGGCTTTGCCAAAAGCCGGCCGGTTTTCAGCTGCGCAGGATTTTCTCCCAATTGTGACGAATGCCGGCCGGTTTCCACGAAAGCCGACCGGTTTTTGTCGCCGTACTTTTAATGCCATAAATAACCCCCAAAGCCGGGCGGTTTCCATGAAAGCCGGGCGGCTTTCAGCTGCGAGAAATTCTCCAGGTCCGACATTTACGAAAGACGGCTGATCTTTACAAAAGCCGGTCGGTTTTTAGTTGCGAGAAAATTTTCTGATTTAATGCTTACGAAAGCCGGGTGGTTTTCGGAGGAAGCTGGCCGGCATTCGTTGCCGTAGTATTTTCCCAATAAATCAAGACGAAAGCCAGGCGGCTTTCATCAATGTCGGGCGGCTTTCGTCAATGCCGGGCGGCATTCGCCCAGGGCGGGGATTTCCCCCCCCTTTTTCCTCTACAAACCCGACCAACCGTCGGGGTTATAAATTTGCACATTTCAAACACTCCTATTGCATACAATAGAGGTAATAACATGAGTTTAAGAATTTACCCGCAACGGAGTCCGGGTTAGCACGTGCGTCCGCCTCCGTCATCGCATAGACCCTAGCTTGGGTCTTGCCTTGGTTCACGGATGGCACGTTGCTTGTACTTGGCCCTCCGTGCGCCGTGCTCGCGTGAGGTGCCCCTGCTCGGTTCCTACTTGCCGTAGTCCCGCTGCTAGGTCCTGCACCCATGGCTCGCCCAAGTTGTGGGCAGATTGATCTCAAGTGCCCCGTCTCCCCGCATTGGTAGCACCTAGGGGGATCGCGGAACTTGCCCGCGTGGTTCCTCTTGCAGTTATTGCACCTGCTAATGCCCGAGCCTTGCGACCTCGAGCCTTGCCCTCCTGGGCCTTGATTTCCCCTAGATGGTGGTGCGGGCGTTCTGAAAGACCCACCTCCCCCGTGGTTCTCCTTCTTGCTAGAACCTTGGGGACCGGTGTTCTCCCATTTCCTCTTCTTCACCTCCTCAGCGTTTTTCAGCTTTCTTTCTTTCCATTCCTTCTCCCCTTTCAGGCCTTGCTCCACCACTTGACTAAACGTCATGTTAGGCAATTGTGTTGCCTGCTCACGCACGTCTAAGTCTAAAGCATCCCAAAAGTGATTCACCATCCGGTTCTCATCACAAGCATACTCCGGTATGAACTCCGCGAGCTCCCTGAACTTGTGCTCAAGTTGCCTCACGGTATACTTGCCTCCTTGGGTCAAGTTGGTGTATTCTCTCCTCTTCAAGTTCACCTCGAAGTTGGAGTAGTGTTGGTTGAAGAATTCCTGTCGGAAATTCTCCCAAGTTACGGCCTCACCGTACTTCCCCTTGACACCGTCCCACCATGTGGACGCCATCCCTTCTAGCAACCTCGTTGCTACTCTCATCTTCATGTTTGGCGGCAGCTGCATATCAAGGGCCGTTTCATTGAACCTCTTGATCCACTCCGCCGCAACGGATATATCTCCCATTCCATCGAACGGTTTACACCCCAAATCTCTTGCTTCCTTGAGGTACTTCGAGATCCTTATTATCGGGACCTCGACATCTCGATCTACTCGGGACTCTACATGTCCCATAGAACCCGCATGGCTTCCCCTTCTTGAAGCCCCTCCCAAAGCACGCCTTGCCCGGCGCCTTTGGCGATCCTGTTGAAATTGACGGAGTAGTTCCTCCATCCTTTCCAGAGCGTCATCATCGTCGCTCCCCTCACTAGCATCATCATACTCCCCATCATATGGGGTCTCAACCGGCTCAGTTCCCGATTGATACGTCGAATCCTCCTCGGACTCATAAGACTCGTTGACTGTTTCAACATAACTGTCACTCACGGTCTGATCTTGGCCTCCACGGCCCTGTCCTCTGGACACCCTAGAAGCCCCTCTACTGCCTTGCACGGATCCTCCCGGTGCCCGGCCAGTCGGGTTCCTTCTAGTTACTTTCCCGGTACGTTCCATTTCTGAAAGAAATTGAGAATGAGTCATTAGACTCATATCAAATGTCAATTGACGGATAGGTACTTAAAGACATCCTTTGGCTCAAATCACCGCCATACCAATTGTTAAGGGTACATCTTAACAATTAGAGACATTGCAACTCAAGTACCAAAAGTTCTATAAGTACAAAACCTTATGCTCATGGTTTTCAAATTCATTTTCAAAAACAAATTTTGAAGCTTCATTATGATGTTTACGGACTAAGGCTCTGATACCAATTAAATTGTCACGCCCCGGACCTACCCAGACACGTCAACAACCTGCCGTATAGTACGAATAGCCAACCGCAGTCCCACTCATCCATATTATACAAGGCGTCTTGAATACCATTCACACATAGTACATCCATAAACAAACATAATGTAAAATAAACATTTATAGCAGTGGAAACATTTGACACAAGTGTTTATGCCACACCTTGGCAAACATGGGCATACAAGCCCCAAAGTAATTATTCAAAACAATATCCATGAGCATTATTTAAATTGTTTTCAAAACAGAAACGGAAGAAGCACGAACCACGTCTTCTTCCTTTGATCTTCCCAAAGCAACGGGCGGTGACAGCAACCTTCAAGTTCTACCTGAAACTGTGACGTGGCCTCCCCCGTGAAGGGGAGGTCACTACTTGGAAATATTTGACAAGTACAATAGCAACTGTACTAAGTATAATTGATGTTTCAATTTCTAAGACCCTCAACTTAGGGTGATATTATATTATAGGCCATAACCCTCGGTTACCCCTTTTTCTTTTAACCGTACTTACTTTATATAGAGTCAAGTAGTCGGCCCGTGGGCCCATATTCATTTAGAATTCATTATTTTCTTTCCCCCGTGACTGCGTGTCACGATAACCCCGTAGGGTCCCATCGAGCCCTGATTTTATAGCAAGGGCTCGGCCCAACTACATTTCTATAAAATCCTCTACCTCGATTTAACGCATTAAAATTGTATGGCAAGGGCTCGGCCCAACTACGTTTCCATACCAACCATAACTTCGTGGCAAGGGCTCGGCCCAACTACGTTTCCACGGAGATCACATATACATGGCAAGGGCTCGGCCCAACTACGTTTCCATGCTAATCACATTACATGGAAGGGCTCGGCCCAACTACGTTTCCATGCAATCCTAGAGTCCAACTCTACTTTATTTTCATAGTCCAATTCTCAAGCAAATCCTATGCCTAGAATCAATTCACTTGGGTAGCCTTTAGGCCTACCCCTACCACACCTTAGTGTTCATACAATTCAACCTTAAAGTATCTCTTAAGACTACTTAAGGCATACCCATTTACAATCCTATCTCTTAGGATTAAATCCATCATTTATTTATATTAATCTCTCGACTAGTATTCCAACACTAGTCGGATAATCTTAGAACCGCCAAGTTCTTAACTCATAGCAAATTAATTCATCTCAATTGATTTTCCAATCCAAGTATAATTTAACCCAAATATCAAAAATATCACTTTTAACCATTCATGAATTTCATACATGAAGTAAAAGTATATTTTATCACAATATTATCATAGTTAATCTCATCATCATACCATCACTTTCATATCACATAATCATACACAATTTACTCTAAATTTGTATATCATACTTCACTTTTTCACATGCAATAGTATTTTCATCTAGGCATTATTATTCATTAATAATCCATGAAAATCACATTTAATAACTTAGGTAATCTTACGAAATTAACCCAACAATTATAAGCAATATAGTCAGCCATCCTCACCTCGTGATGTGCTACAATAGTTGCCTTTGTTACGCCCCTCGATCAATCCCCGTTCTAGGCCGATTGAAAGTGAAAAGCTGGATTTCTGGGCCAAAGCCGGGCGGCTTTCGTAGTCTGCAACTATGAACAGCTCCCTATATGTGGCGGTTTCCGGCGATTTCGACTCCTATCGATTCACCAACTCTTCTAAGTTAATTAACACCACTTTATATCAGTATTCTACACTTTTAAACGTGTAGAACTCATGGTTTAATCCACCATATGATTTCTTAAAAATCATACAATAATAAAACTAGTTAAAGATTGTTTATTGAGTTCTTACCTCAAAAACAACCCTCTTCTCTTTGGATTCTCTTCCTTGCTGCTTGGACTATGAGAGGAGACTTCCGTAGAGCTTCTCTCTCTGCCTTGGTCGAGTGGATGATGTCAAATGGAAGGGGGAAACATCTCCCCAATCAACTCCCAAGATAATACATGTGTATGGGCCCTTGGGAGTGATTTCTTTGTCTTGAGAAATCTCCTCACTCAATGAGTCCGCACCTCCCATGTTTGAATGTCCCCTTCTGCTCTCACTCAATCCATAAGGACGTGGGATGGCCCCCACTCATGTGGGCGGTCATCCCTTTAAGTCCCGGTGTGTATAATCGGCTCCGAAAGTTGTATTTCTCGGACTATTTTAGTCATATTTTATTTTATCGGGTCAGATAAAATATATCACGCGTTCCCAATAATTATGGGCCTTTAGAATAGATGTACATTCCCCAACATAAATTTAGGAGTCTCCGAAACTCATTTCGGGCTGTTATCTGCTAAATTACCAATACCGGTAATTGGACCCCGTTTGACCAACCGGTCAACTCCATGCCTTTCTTATGACCCAAATAGAATATCCACCACCATATAGATGTCATCCAGACCAAGATGAATATAATATGTGGTTCGGGAATTATCGGGCGGTCCCGGTTCCTGCTGTGGACCCACATGCAATTTACTATTCATGTAAAAGAAATAATAAAATTTAACAATTACGTAAATTCATAAATCACCTTTCAAGGTTTATTACATAATTTACTAAAAGTAAATATGCTTGGGGGCGGTGCTACACACTAGAATGGGTAAATACATGACATGCACCTCATTACCGCTTTTGTCTACAAATGTGGATGCTCCCATAAGCATCAAAATGTAGGCTCTGGTGTACTGATGCACAACAACGTCATCAACATCAACAGGTAAATCAGTAAAGTGTTGTCTCAACCAAGCCATCCTCAAGGCGGACCCCCGAATATCTGTCCCAGGGTGTGGCCGTACTCCCAACAATCTGTGTACTAAATCAACCCACACTCTATACGCAGTCCCAGTAACTGCCCGACCCTCGATGGGTAGACCTGCCAATACAGCCACATCTCCCAAAGTGATAGTGACATCACCCACCGGTAAATGGAAAGTGTGAGTCTCCTGTCTCCAACGCTCAAGTAGAGCGGTAAGTAATGCTCTATCTATATGCAGAGTCGAAACTAATCTGTGGACACCGTAAAACCCGGCTAATCGAACATAATGTAGAATCCTATCATCCACCTGCATGTGGAATATAGTGCGTAGGTGCTCACGACACCTATCTACCTGAACATCCAGGCCACGCCACACATCCTCACTCCGGTGCGTGGCCTGCAATGTCAGGACCGAAGGATCAATCGGTGTGGGATCCACTGACACCTGTATCGGCGCTGTAATAGTAACATATGTATTATTTCTTTTATTTTTTTATTAAAATTAAATGTATTTAAATGTATTTATTTTTTAATGTTATTAATGCATTTGCGAATAAAAGAACAACATTACCCAGTGGAACTCCCTACGTGTCCCTGCAATCTTTTAGCACATGTCATCATGTTATGCCCTGTTTGCTTGCATAAACCGCATCTTACAGCAGCTCTAGGACCTTCATCCATTTCATTTCTCAACCGTTTAGCCTTCGGAAGACCTTTAGCGTGAATCATTGACGGGTCATGCACAACCCGTGGTCCAATGTAAGTAGGTCTATAAGCTATATCCGGTATGGACTTGAATACTCTTTTATAAGAAGGCGCGTACTCCGCTGATGAGAAAAACGTATCAACAAAAGCATCATAGGACAAACTACGATCTCTGCATACCGCTAAGATACGTGAGCAAGGAATCTTATAAATATTCAGCTTCTGACATGTGCAATGGCGAAAGTGCAAATTCACCGTTTGTTTTGTACCACCCTTCCCCACAGTTCGACCACCACGACCCGTCTCCACTTGGTATAAACCACGGCCTATGTCAAATGTTGTGACCTTGTGATGCGTTGCCTTTTCCGTATTTCTTTCAATCAGTTCAGTCACTTGCTGACAGTAGCGATGCCCTTCTGCTAACCTTCTCTTACTAGTTTCTCTTCTTTCCACAAAATAGGCATTCACACAATAGAATGATAACTCAACTAAGGCGGTTATAGGCATGTATCATGCACTTTTCATGACGCTATTGAATACTTCAGCCATGTTCGTTGTTGTGGTGCCATACCTGTACCCCCCGTCGTGGTGTAAAGACCACTTCTCCAAACCAATGTTCGCTAGATATTGTCGTGGTCCTGCCTGCATTTCACCAATCCTGTTAAATCCACCATCAAATTTCTTCTTTTGCCATTGACTTGCTGTCCAAACGAACAGATGTTTCAAGTGAACGTCTTTAAATTGAGTATGCAGATTAGAAGCGACATGCCGTATGCAAAGCCAATGTCGTGAATCTGGCTCCTCCCATCCACTACCTACCACATTAAGTGCCTTCTGAATTCCAGCATGTCGATCTGAAATAACACACAATTCTCTGCGTGTGATAAAATGACATATGCATCCCATAAACCACAACTAACTCTCTCCATTCTCTGATTCACAAATAGCGAACGCCAAAGGGAAAAGTTGATTATTAGCATCACTACCCATTGCCACCAACAACGTACCTTTATACTTCACATATAAGTGCGTTCCATCAATGGTCAGTAAAGGACGACAATGCTTAAAGCCTTTAATGGATGGCTTAAATGCCCAAAAAACTCTTTGAAACTGCACAAAGCTAGTGGTACCTGAAAGACGGAGAAAATTAGTGGGACAAATTTAAAATTGAATTTAATATGATACAATAAAAGATATTAATAACTCATTGGTATCTGAAAGAGGTGGGTACCAATGCACAACCGTCCCTGGATTGGAATGCTGTAATGCCAACATGAAATAGGGCAAAGCAGAATACGACGCCTCCCAATCTCCAAATATTTCACTGATAGCTTTTTGCATAGCCAACCAAATTCGCTTGTACGAAGGTACATACCCGTACTTTTCCTTCATAAGCTCACTAATAGTGCGGACTTTTAGTGATGGATCAGTACGAAGAAGATCAATAATTTCACGGGCTATGAACTGAGATGTGATACCAACATGGTCATTGTTATCGACGTTACCTAGACAAGTAGGTATATGAGGACCTGCATAACGAACATATTTGAACATATCTAGCCTCACATGTTTCTTTGTAGCCCGGATCCGCCAAGTGCAACCACATTCTTTTTTGCATTTACACTCTGCCACCCATTTGTGTTTGTCAGACTCTACAACTGAGAAAAATTGATTCCTATTTACAGAGTACACTCTAACCATGTTAATCAGTTGTTTCTTATCATCAAACTCTTGTCCAACCTCGAATTCACCATCTGTAGAGAAGCGACTGGAAATTGTACAACCCCTCTATGATTCATCAAATCCCGCAGGGAGGTCATCAACTTTAGTGTAGTGGCTGGATGGAGCATTGCCATTTACGAGATCACCAACATCTTCATCTGAATTTGTTAGTGTGTCATGATTCACATTTTCATCTGCATCATCGTCGATGTGCTGTAAATCCAGAAACATTGCATCACTGTTCACGTATCTTCCATTCTCCTGTGCAACCATATTCATCACAACTGGAACACTTGTGGATGGGTAAGATAATGACAGGTTGTCAAGTTGTATGGGCAACACAGTCGCTTCTTCAACATATATCTCCATGGTATGCATAGCAAGATTCGTGATCAAGGTCCACATCCTCGTAACGGCTTCGTCGTCAGCAAGAGACATCAACATGTATGACCCACCATGAACGGGATACTCCCTCCGTATCATATTAGTTGCAACATTGAAATTTACACACTATTCATGAACACTACTTTGACTACATTTTATTTATTAATGTATGTGAATTATTTTTTTTGAAAAAGATTGTTGAATTCGTCTCATTACAAAGTTTCATAATTTGATTTTTAAAATTATTTTACTAATAGGGAATTAAATATAATGATGGTCAAAGTTGTGCATTGGTAAGCGTGAAAAAGGGAATGTTGCAACTAAAAAAGAACGGATGATAGTATTTAACTTTCAAATCCAACTTGTTCATACGATTGATGGATGTGGCGGTATAAATTTTATTCATTAACTCAGCCACATCCACCCTATTGGGGAATATTATCCCGGCCTGCTACTGTTCAGAGGTTCAATGCATCACCCCAGCATGGAGCCCGATCCACGAGGCCCATTTAGGCCTACCTGGCCCATTTTCGGTCCATCGGCCCATACTTCGGCCCGACTACCCATTTAGGCCCATTGGCCCATTAGAATAGATTGATAACCTCCCCCTTTTCTATAAATAGGGGGCTGGGCTTCCTAGGGAGAGGATGAATTTTTTGGCTCTTCTCTCCTGGGAAACTTCTCCTCCTCTCCTTACTGTTTTCTTCTTCCTCTTTTGTAGCTAGCAAATGAAGCTCCATGAATGGAGGCTTCAGCCTATGTATTATGTAATGGAGTGAGGAGAGCATGTTAATGAGAAAGAGCGGGCTTGGACGTTAGCCTAAAAAGTCCCGTGGTTTTCTCCCTTTCCGGGTTTCCACGTAAAAATAGCTAGTTTATACACTTTTATATTTTATATTCAGATTTATACCGAATCTATGATCCTGAATATCCGAAGTTATGTTGGGCTTTCGGATCTACGGGACTAAAACTCAACAATGGGGCCGTCGGTGGGAAACACGGCAAAAAGATTCATGTTTCTGCAAATTTGTTGATACTAAGACGGACTGATTCCCAGCAAGAAACGAAGAAATTACAGATCCGAGTCAGCTCCGTTTGTTCAAATTACTGCTGCCACACCCAAAGAAAGATGGAAGTTGTGAAATCCTCCACTGACATTGGAAACTGAAGGAAGATTCTATGGGAACTCCCAGATCCAGATGTAACTCCCGTCGGTGGAAGAAGGAAGAAGAATGACTGCGACCCACCGGCCCACTATCTTGATAAAAGATAAGAGGATTAGCTGTCAACTCTCAGGAACCATGACAACACCAAGTGGAAGATGCGACAGATTCATGATTATCCAAAAAAGCTTCTGCTTCCCGAACGGGACTTCCCGTTCAAACTAATGGCAGCACTCGGAGAAATTCCAGAAGGCCACCAACTCGTATGCTATGTTCTGCAAGACCCCAGGCCTCTCGCACGAGCGCCGACCGGGAGCTTCGAAACCCAGTAGGACCCATCCGTGGAGGTAGCTTCCGGAACCGCTGGCTGAAGAACCCAACTGCAGGACCACGATTTCCATAGCAGGAGGAAGAAGACGGTCCGTTGGATCTAATGGAGCTGGCTGGGAGCACAAGTGGCTGTCTTTTCGCGATAGCTGCAATCTGACATGAATTAATTGCCGAAGTGACCGGTGGGGCCCCATGTTGACTAAACTGACTCATGCCTGACTACACAGCCGTCTGACCGAGCAGGAGTTTTCCGAACTGCCCTCCGGGGACACGCCTCCGGCCAATTGACGTCCGTAAAAAACAGACCACCTACTGACCCCTTGGTGGGAGGTCAAGACAGCAACACTCTCTGCCGAACGGGATACGGAAAACAGCAATCACCCCTCAAGAGCTGGCATTGCCGCTCGGTAAAACCAACATCGGCAGGATAGAACATGACCAGAAGGAAGCATCAAAAGCCCCGAGCGGGAGATTAACCAAACATGCGTCCAGAAGGAGACTAACCGATCAGTGGCCACGGATGATGAGGAAGACAACAGGTTAGCAACTCAGACTCCTGAAACGAAAGGCCACACACATCAAATAGGAAACAGTAAACTTTGGACCCGAACGAGAATTCTATCTGCCGAGCGTGCTCCAGTGAACTCAGAACCAACGACCAAGCCCGGGAAGAGGGCTGTTCATACCTGATGGCGGCAAAACGACATAATCCAGAATGGTTGTGACACCGCCCTGGCCGAAACAGTACAAGATAAAAGAAGGCATTCCGACTGGCTGAGGGAACGACCTTGACAACCATATCCCTTGCCCGAGCCACCTAATTTGTTTGGCATTTCATAGCCATGACACCACGAGAAACTTCAGTCTGGGATCATCAGAGGAATCACATGCCGAACGGGAATTCCAAAACATGACTTTGGACATTAATTGTGGACAGCAGTAATACCTACCGATCCGGAATGGGCCTGTCCATGCCGGCCGTTCCCCTGCCTATCCATTTTCACATTTAAACCAGAAAAGAATATTAACAGTCCAGTGCGGGAAGTTACCTGAATGGCCTCCAAAGGAGAGAATTTTTATCCCACCGGTAGCTTCAGTTAGCGGGAATGATGGCAGATTATCCGAACAGTATCTTCTATGGCTTCCCACCGCCGCACGGCCTTCGGGCTCCTAACCCTGCAACTCGATCTCCCCATCCGGAACCAGAGATACCGAACGGTACTTTTCGTATCTCAATTTTCGGGACGGTTTTAAGCCTTGCGAAGGGTAGATGGCCATTCAGTTTTTGACGCCACCCAGAGTTCTCGAACGGAGGGCATATTTCTCCTAGCGGCTGAGCAGTAAAGTCAAAAGAGTTGGAACTTAAAATGGGCATCGGGTCGGATCCTCCTTGGTGGGCCAGTAGTGGGTTGGATAACCAAGTAGCTCACGCTAGACTAAAATCCATAAGCTTCGATGCCTACGGAGACAACTGTTGGTCTGGCAAGCGAGGATGATTTCTCCGGGCTAAAAACTTGGACTGGCAGAGGGAATTCAGCCTTTTCCAGCTAAGTATTACAGCATTCTATGCTTATACCTTCAAAAATATTAAAAGCCAGATAGTACTATGGCTATTGTTCACACCGCCATTTTTTGGTAGGGATTAAATTATCCCGAGTTAAGTCGTATCGAACGAAGCTTCAATGATAATTGTCATTTTAATTAAATGACTGGTGATGGTGGGCTTATCGGCCCAACCTGATCGACTTAAATTAATAATCGAAGCATCACCCGGGGGGGTCACTCCCGAATCCTGCTCGGCATTCAGTGCTAGTATGTTAAACGTTTAATTGTTTAAATAGTATTATTACTATTAATTACAATTTATTATTATTTGTTGGGGAGTAAAAAATCCCGAGTCAAATAGTGTCGGGCGGGACTTCACCATCATGTGTGTATACTTGTATATTTTGTTCGGCCGTGCGGCCGTATTACTATACTTATTGTGCAGTGGAATCCGTTCGATATGCTCGAGCTAGGAGATCCATAATGTTGGCATGAAGCGCGAAGACGTTCATGACCGACAAGGAAATGAAGATCGAGATTCAGAAATGAAGACCGAGATTCAGAAATGAAGACCGAGATTCAGAAATGAAGACCGAGATTCAGAAAAGGGGATCGAGATTCAGAAATGAAGATCGAGATTCAGAAAAGGGGATAGAGAATTCAGAAATGAAGATCGAGATTCAGAAATGAAGATCGAGATTCAGAAAAGGGGATCGAGATTCAGAAATGAAGATCGAGATTCAGAAAAGGGGATAGAGAATTCAGAAATGAAGATCGAGATTCAGAAATGAAGATCGAGATTCAGAAAAGGGGATCGAGATTCAGAAATGAAGATCGAGATTCAGAATTGAAGATCGAGATTCAAAAAAGGGGATCGAGATTCAGAAATGAAGATCGAGATTCAGAAAAGGGGATAGAGAATTCAGAAATGAAGATCGAGATTCAGAAATGAAGATCGAGATTCAGAAAAGGGGATCGAGATTCAGAAATGAAGATCGAGATTCAGAAAAGGGGATAGAGAATTCAGAAATGAAGATCGAGATTCAGAAAAGGGGATCGAGATTCGGAAATGAAGATCGAGAATTCTGTGTTGCCGAGTGATGTTCGGCAACACAGAAAGTTTCAGGCCATGGTTAACACGCAGTCATTCCGGATGACCGAATGACGAACGGGTTAACAACATGGAAGGAAAATCATTCTCAGCTAAAAGAATTTGATCCTAGACTTACGAACGGATACAGGGATCAAAACGGCTTGGAGAATCGATGCTCAGAAAATCTCAGCCCATGGTTAACACACAGTCATTCCGGATGACCGAATGATGAATGGGTTAACAATATGAAAAGAAAATCATTCTCAGCTAAAAGAATTTGACCCTAGACTTACGAACGGATAAAGGGATCAAAACGGCTTGGAGAATCGATGCTCAGAAAATCTCAGCCCATGGTTAACACGCAGTCATTCCGGATGACCGAATGACGAACGGGTTAACAACATGGAAGGAAAATCATTCTCAGCTAAGAAAGTTTTGACCCTAGATTATGAACGGATAAAGGGATCAAAACGGCTTGAAGAATCGATGCTCAGAAAATCTCAGCCCATGGTTAACACACAGTCATTCCGGATGACCGAATGACAAACGGGTTAACAACATGGAAGGAAAGTCATTCTCAGCCAACGACTTGGAGTTTGACACTCAGATAGTCTCATCTCAGCGGTTAACATGGGAATCGTTCTGGACAACCGAATGAGGAACATGTTAGCAGTTTGGAGGGAGCCATTATCTCAGCTAATAGAATTTGACCCTGTAATTACGCATTGTTGAAGGGATCAAAATGGCCTGGAGTTTGATGTCAATGATTCTCACCTCAACTTTTTAACACGCAAAATCATTCCGGATGACCGAATGAGGAACGGGTTAACAATTTGGAGGGAGCTGAGTCATCAACTTAGCTAAAGTCGACCCTGTAATTACGTCCGGGCAAAGGGATCAAAACGGCTTGGAGATGGTGTCAAGACTATAAGATATGGACGAACCGAGCGACGTTCGGATAAGGTACGGATTGTCGTCCGGGGAATCGGAACTATGGTTTTGAAAAATTTCGCCTCAGTCATTAACTTGATTTGGAAGCGAGTCGCCCTTTTAGTTATAAATAAGGAATGACCTGATCCGGTGACCTTGCTTACAATTTGAAAAGGGTTACCTCAGACCCCTAATATGGATGATACGAGCCAGAGAGAATTGTTCGGAATGCATCGGAATTATGGGTTTGGAAGGGAGAGAGTCTCACCTCAGCTTGTTAACACGTGAAATCGTTCCGGATGACCGAATGACGAACGTGTTAACAGTTTGGAGGGAGCCATCATCTCAGCTGAGAGTTTGACCCTGTGGTCACGATCAAAACGGCTTGGAGGGATTCACCTCAGCTAAAAGATTTTGACCCCGTGGATCACGAACGATAAAGGGATCAAAACCGGCATGGGAAGGGTGTCAGAATTATGAGTGTGGACGAATCCAAGTCGCGTCCGGTAACCCTAAAAACGAAGGAACTAGGAGTTCGGGTTTGAAAAAAAATGAAGTAACAAGATTGGGGAAAGAATCGAGTTTTATTCTTCAAACACTACTCGCCGGAAAGTACAAAAGAAATCAAGAGTAATACAACTTGGGCAAGAGATTATGCTACTGAATGATCCCTGATCGGGGAAGATAGAGACTGAAAACTGCCAACCTGCGCCAGATCATCAGAAACTGCTTTCTGTCTTTAGTATGGGTGGCTTAGATCATCGGAACTATGGGATTGGAGGATGGCCAGTCGAGTCGAGTCCATGTTTGTCGAGTCGAATCGAGTCAAGTCCATGTCAAGTCGAGTCGAGTCAGGTCCATTCCTTTCGACTATGGCAATGTAAGGACCATGGCAATGACCATGGCATCGTAAGTCCATATCACAGCAAGGGCCACTTTTTATGCAGCACGAACGGGCTCCACAGCACCGTCGTGCCTGATTCTCGGACGGGTTCGTCCATCCTTGATCTAGGATGACGACCGTCGCTCTTATGCAGCACAAACGGGCTCCACAGCACCGTCATGCCTGATTCTCGGTCGGGCTCGTCCATCCTTGATCTAGGATGACGACCGTCGCTCTTATGCAGCACGAACAGGCTCCACAGCACCGTCGTGCCTGATTCTCGGTCGGGCTCGTCCATCCTTGATCTAGGATGACGACCGCCGCTCTTATGCAGCACGAACGGGCTCCACAGCACCGTCGTGCCTGATTCTCGGTCGGGCTCGTCCATCCTTGATCTAGGATGACGACCGCCGCTCTTATGCAGCACGAACGGGCTCCACAGCACCGTCGTGCCTGATTCTCGGTCGGGCTCGTCCATCCTTGATCTAGGATACGACCGCCGCTCTTATGCAGCACGAACGGGCTCCATAGCACCGTCGTGCCTGATTCTCGGTCAGGCTCGTCCATCCTTGATCTGGGATGACGACCGCCTCTTTTTTATGCAGCACGAACGGGCTCCACAGCACCGTCGTGCCTGACTCTCGGTCGGGCTCGTCCATCCTTGATCTAGGATGACGACCGCCGTTTTTATGCAGCACGAGCGGCTGGCTCTACAGCGCCGTCGTGCCTAGTACGGGATTGCACCTCATTTATGGATTATGCATGCCTTGCGCCCAAGATTATTCAAAGACTGATTCAGGGATGGCAGAAAAGGGCGTGAGCAAGAGTATACTTTCTCGAGTAGATTTGCAAGCTCACTACTCAAGAAACTGGGGGACTTGTGTTGGGGAATATTATCCCGGCCTGCTACTGTTCAGAGGCCCAATGCATCACCCCGACATGGAGCACGGTCGACGAGGCCCATATAGGCCTACCTGGCCCATTTTCGGTCCATCGGCCCATACTTCGGCCCAACTACCCATTTAGGCCCATTGGCCCATTAGAATAGATTGATAACCTCCCCCTTTTCTATAAATAGGGGGCTGGGCTTCCTCGGGAGAGGATGGATTTTTTGGCTCTTCTCTCCTGGGAAACTTCTCCTCCCCCCCTTTCCAGTTTTCTTCTTCCTCTTTTGTAGCTAGCAAATGAAGCTCCATGAATGGAGGCTTCAGCCTATGTATTATGTAATGGAGTGAGGAGAGCATGTTAATGAGAAAGAGCGGGCTTGGACGTTAGTCTAAAAAGTTATGTGGTTTTCTCCCTTTCCGGGTTTCCACGTAAAAATAGCTAGTTTATACACTTTTATATTTTATATTCAGATTTATACCGAATCTATGATCCTGAATATCCGAAGTTATGTTGGGCTTTCGGATCTACGGGACTAAAACTCAACACACCCCATAGGAAACAACAATTATCTTCCGATTCCCCCCTTCATAACGAATTCCGTTCGACTCCTCGACTATATTTCCTCCCCAATGACACATAATGGGGAAGTTTGGAGACATATTCTATCAAAAATCATTCCAAAAAAATGTGATTTATGTCGCACATTGAAAACTCAACTACTAATTCAAACAAACTGTATTAAATCATATGTATCATTTTTATGATTTCATTCAATTACAAAATTTGATGGATACATATTAATGATGTGCTACATTACTCTTTTCTAAACTACCCGTATATCAAACTCAATCCAACCAACACAATAAAAAAATCAAATTCTACAAATTATATAAAATCCAGCATAATAACTAAATTACCAACTTATATATCTCATAACATCAAATACAAAAAAATAATAACAAAAAGAGCGATTTTCAAACAAAAATTTAAAAAACCCTAGGTTTAGCAAAATAGATGAATTACCTTGATTGAAACAGTTGAAAGTCGGTAGAATGGAGCACAAACGACCTCGGGTACACCGTGTCTCTTTTCTCTTTGATTCAAAATCAATCCAACCAACATAAAAAATAATTCAAATTATACAAATTATATAAATTCAATCATAATAACAACATTAACAACTTATATATTTCATAACATCAAATACAAAGAATAATAAAAACACTAATTTTGAACATTAAATTAAAAAAACCTAGGTTTAGCAAAAGTGGTGAAATACCTCGATTCAAACGTTTAAAAGGCGGTAGAATGGAGCACAAACGACCTTGGGTACACCGTGTCTCTTTTGCATTGGATTTGAGCTTCCTTTGGAGGCGTTCCAGCTGGAATTGGAATGGCTTGTTCGTCCTTTGCCGTTCATCGTTCACGCAGAGGGAAGAAGGAAGAAGAGGTTTTGCCATCTGTGTTCGTCAGCTGGGAAGGGAGGAGTTTTGTGCGAATTAATGAGCCGCCACTCGAAGTGGCGTCTTTTGTGATACAGGAGAAGAGCCGTCACTCCAAGTGGCGGCTTTTGTGAAGTTATACAAGAGACGCCACTTCAAGTGGCGGCTTTCCTTAACCGTGGTTAATTCCAGCAATATTTTGGGAATTATTATTAACTCGGCAGTATTTCGGAAATTATTTATTTAATTAGCATTATTCCGGGAAAAAACTTGTCATACTTATAAGTTACAATATATAACTGGTCTAAAATATTTGTAAAATATAGTTTTCCATAATAATACATCAGTTGTGGAAGTGGATAACATTTATATGGGAGGGGTTGGACCGAGTAGGGGCGGTGCTCGATTGGGCCTGCAGTTTATTCCAGCCCTGGTTAATGAGGCTGCAAAGGAGGTAGCTAAGTTGGGCTTCAATGGGCCTTTTTCTTGGAGGATTGGAGATTTCCTACCCAAAACACTGGCTGGCTCTATTCACTTGGACTCTATTGACACACCATATATTATTTGCTGAGTTTTTTCTGAGCTTTTTTGTCTTTCAGAGGACTTTGGGTTCGGTCCCCTTCTCCTTTTGTATCTAATCGCATCTATTAATAAAATTTTGGCAGCTGACCTCCGGCTCTCGCCTCACTGATTTTGGTGGTTTGCCTTTCGGGATAAAAAAATAATAATAATACATCAGTTTTAGCAATTGTAACAATATATTATTTGCTGAGTTTTTTCTTAGCTTTTTTGTCTTTCGGAGGAGTTTTGGTTCGGTCCCCTTCTCCTTTTGTATCTAATCGCATCTATTAATAAAATTTTGGCAGCTGACCTCCGGCTCTCGCCCCACTGATTTTGGTGGTTTGCCTTTCGTGATAAAAAAATAATAATAATACATCAGTTTTAGCAATTGTAACAATATATTATTTGCTGAGTTTTTTCTTAGCTTTTTTGTCTTTCGGCGGAGTTTTGGTTCGGTCTCCTTCTCCTTTTGTATCTAATCAAATCTATTAATAAAATTTTGGCAGCTGACCCCCGGCTCCTGCCCCACTAATTTTGGTGGTTTGCCTTCCGGGGTAAAATAATAATAATAATACAATCAGTTTTAGCAATTGTAACAATTATAAGCCACTTTAGTACTCTAACCACAACTTAAGATGGATTTTGGGAACATAGTCAAGTTGACAATAAGTGATCCCTTCATGTTTACAGAATCACATTTTAGCAATAAAAGTACCTTTCAAGCTGTTAAAGGATACTCCGTATAACATACAAAAACAGACTAGATAAGGATCACTGTACTAAAGCATTTTGGCCACTTTGACCGGCTCAAAGCTTGCTCTCACTTTGATCCAATGCATGAAGATTGAAGACAAAGATTCTGTTAGCAAAAGTTAGCCAATTATACAAACATCTAATAACTCGGGAAAGAAAAATAGAAGATTTAACTATGATATATAGAAAATTACCCAGACAAATGCACAAGGTTTTCCTCCGTAGCCGTCTAGGGTTTTTGTCGATACTATTCTGCCGTCTAGGGTTTTTGTCGATACTATTCTGCCGTCTACTGTTCACGTAGCTTTTGAACGTTTGTTTTCTCCTTTGCTTTCTAAATGGCCAGCGACATGGAAGACCTGTACGCACGTTTGAGTCTTGAAGAGGATGATGAAGAAGGAGTTGACCTCGATGAAGTGCTAGCAGATGAGCCGCCGCCGGCAGCACCTTTATGTATGGTAGGCAGATTACTTACGCTCAAGGTTATTAAATTTCCTTTTTTCCGAGATACCATGGCCGATGTTTGGCGTCCAAGTGGTGGTGTCAATATTAGGGAGATTGGTGATCACCGATTTATGTTCCAGTTTTTTAACAAGGTGGACTTTGAGAGGGTCTGGGAAGACGGTCCATGGTGCTATGAAAATTCCCTGTTGGTGCTTCACAGACTTGAACCGTTGGATAATCCGAAAACTGTACCCCTGGATCGAACTTGCTTCTGGATTCAAGCCTACAATCTGCCATTTGATCTTTTCACGAAGAAAATTGCAAGGGTTGTCGGAGACCAAGTGGGGAAATTTATCATGGTTGATGAGAGTAACTTTAAAGGCGGTTGGAAGGAGTTCATGCGGATTCGGGTTTCGATCGAGGTGGGCGTCCCGCTCAAACGGAGGGTAAAACTGAAAAAAGAAGGCTAGCCGATTTGGGTTGACTTGAAGTATGAATGGCTACCTCAGTTTTGTTTCATTTGTGGTCTCATGAACCATGTTGACAGATGGTGTGAAAGACGGTTTGACTTTGCAGAAACTGGAAAAGAGAAGCCCTTTGGAGCTTGGTTGCGGGCTGGTTTAAGACGAGGAAGTGCAGGCAAGGGGAGTAGTTAGCTGGCCGACGCGGAGGGTAAGTTTCTTTTCGGCAATCCTTCCTCTGGCAGTAACCTAGTTTGTCTTGGCGTGGATGAGGACACCCCGACTGAGGCATCTTCACAGATTGATGGTGGGGCTGCCAAAAGACGTAAGGCTCATGGGGATTCCTTTTAGGGAAATTTACGGATATTTTCTATTATACAAAAGCAAGAGAAATTTTGCACAATATTTTCGCTCAAAAATATCACATCAATGGGTTCGGGTTGGGTCTTCAAGTAATCGGGTCGGATTGTCCATGGGTTTAGAAACAGGCCAGAGTTCAGCACAATGCAGTTTTAATGCTGGTACAGTAACCAACCTTGAGCCACAAAAATTTGTACTTTTAAATCAGGAGATAAGCAAATAAAATCTCCACATGTTTACATATTTAACTAATTTACATATACTTACATATGTATTTATTAACAAATTTACATATTTAACTAATTTACAAAAAATACGTAATTCAAATTACATACCTTATCTGCATCAACAGGAAAAATGATATGAGATGAGTAGATTACATCTTTCAATTCTATCTGGAATTCTATCTGGAGTAGATGGTGTGATTTTGTTGAATGAAGTGGAGGCTGCATATATTAAATTTGTAGTCACGGACTTAGTCACGGATGTGTCCGTGACTACATTTTTTTTGTACGAATTGTCGGTGCACTTTAAATCTGGAACGTTGAAAAATCAATTTTGCACTTGTCACGGAATTAGTCACGGACGTGTCCGTGACTAACTGTAGTCACGGTACTAGTCACGGAACCATCCGTGACTAATTTCAAATTTAAAAAAAATCCCGCCAGAGGCGAAAATGGGTTGGCCGGAACACTTTAGTCACGGACTAGGTCCGTCACTACCTATAGTCACGGACGTAGTCACGGACAAATCCGTGACTACTTTTTTTTAACCGTTCCGTGACTAAACCGTGATTAGAACCGTGACTAACTAGTCACGGACCAAATCCGTGACTACGGTCCGTGACTACAGGCGAATTTTTTTGTAGTGACACAACCTTGAGCCACAAAAACATTAATTGAATTGTACTATGATTAGACAGTTTTGTGGCTCTCACCCCCATTACGAAATAAGCTAATTTGAGGATTAAATAAATGGTGTAAATTGTACTTCAAAAATCTTTGAAAGTACAAAAAAAATCCCAGAGCAAGTCTTGAGCCACACAAACATTAAATGCACTATACTATCTTTACATTACAATAAAAGGATTTTGTACACCACAGGCCCGATTTAAAGACTGTCCATGGGTTCAGAAACAGGCCAGAGTTCAGCACAATGCAGTTTTAATGCTGGTATAGTAACCAATGTCTCCGGTTCGCATGCTTGCTGCTTTTATTAAGAAAATATACAATTTGTACTTTTAAATCTGTAGAAAAGCAAATAAAATCTCCACACAACCTTGAGCCACAATAACATTAATTGAATTGTACTATGATTAGACTGTTTTTGTACGTCTCACCCCCATTTCGAAATAAGCTAATTTGAGGATTAAATAAATGGTGTAAATTGTACTTTAAAAATCTTTGAGAGTACAAAAAAAATCCCAGAGCAAGTCTTGAGCCACACAAACATTAAATGCACTATACTATCTTTACATTACAATAAAAGGATTTTGTACGCCACAATCCCAATTTAAAGATTAACTGAGAAATTATCCCTTGGTTAATACCCCTTTGGTAGAAACTGTTCTCTCCCCGGCCACTATAAATACCCAAGTGAAGGATTTTCTAGACACACCACAAACGAGCAATTCCAGATTTAGAGTTTAAACTAAACAATGGCAGGTTCATCTACAACGGGGATGTGGTCTATGATCAAGGACATTGATCACACCAAGTCTACCTGGGCTCTGAAGGTTAGGGTTGTAAGGGCTTATGAGGTGCCTCCTCACTCAAAAGGAGGGGAGACCCTCGAGATGGTTTTGCATGACGCCGAGGTACAATTTATACTTCTATCAAAAATATTTTATATGATAAAACGTTCGTTGTTAACTTTTGAATCTGTAAAATAGGGAGATCGGATTCATGCAATAATCAAGAGACCACAGATTGCCATGTACAAGACTATAATAACTGAGCACAAGATCTATGCTATAAGGAACTTCTTAGTTCTAGACAATTACCAATCAGTGAAGACCACAAATCATCCCTACCTGATTCAGTTCATCTCTAAAACCCAATTCAGGGAGGATACGAAGACAGAATTGCCTATGATGGTCTACGATTTCCAACCTTTCGATATGCTGCACGCCCAAAGGGTTATCAATGAGAAAACTCTCATTGGTGGGTAAAATCAAATTATAGACCTAACTAAAAAACTTATGGAACTATGCTAACAACAGTTTCCATTCCACTGTTTCAGATATCATTGGGAAGGTTATCAATAAAAGCATTGTTCAAACCCATATCATCAATGGGAAGACAGAAAGGCTAATGGAGCTAACTGTGGCAGATCCAGAGTATTTTTTTTTTCATTTAGAAATGTTATGGGTACGAAAATAATTTGTTATGCTAATGGCTAAAATCTTTTTGAAATTACAGGGGAAACAGACTAGGGTGTGTTCTATGGAACAAATATATAAACCAGTATCAGGATTATGTTAATGAGAACCCTGGAATTGCTGTTTTTGTGATATTTCAACTGTGTAGACCCAAAAGATATCAAGGTATTACAACATCTAATTTTGCTATTTCACCAACATCAACGTATCATCAACTGTTGCTTAACAATGTTATTTACAAGCAGGCACCCTAAGTGTGGCTTCATCTTTTGATGTGTCCAAACTCATCATCAATGGAAACACAACCGAATTCTTAGAGTTCCAAAGCGAGTACGATTCATAAATTTTTTGACTTATAATTATCTAATCTAATAATAATAGTAAGTTTTAAAAAACAATAACTTACTTTGCACAATGAAACAAATAATAGATTTCCGGCGGATGGTGATGACTCCATATCTCAAACATGCAACACAAACTGCTCACAAGGTGAAGGGAGTAGGGATGTGCTTAGTGGTCATGCTGCCATAACCACTATGGAGGATTTGATGAATGCAACTGAGGTAAATATGTGTTAGAGGGATTTTTGTAAGCAGCATTTGTAATTGATTGTAATCATTGTGTGTCAAAAACATTTTGAATGAATAGGAGGAGATTTACTGGGTGCTTGGTGAGATAGTTTCTATCGAAAATACTCGGGAGTGGTGCTACCTAAGCTGCCCAATATGTCACAAAAAATTGGTACCGGAGGAGGAGAGGTTCAGGTGTTCTACTTGCAGCGTGACACTAGGAGAAGGAGTCTACCGGTACTATAATATCACCTTATTTGATGCCAGAGATAATGTTGTTGGGGTTAATGTATTGTTTTACAAATATGAATTTCAAATAAACTAAGACATCATGGACCTGATAATGATTAAGTTACAAGGTCAGTGTGTGCATCATGGACAACACCGGGCACAGAAATTTTATTCTATGGGATAGGGAATGTATTGAGATTCTGGGGAAAACTTCTGCATCCCTAATGGCTGAGGTCCAAAAGGTAACATCTATATTGTATTCACGACAATTTTATTCAATGTAGACCACTCATTCTATTTCATAATGCAACTTGGCAAAAAAAACAGAAAACAGGTGATCCAACCCGTTTTCCAGAAGATATTGAAAGCTTGATTGACAAAAAGGGAATATTCAAAATACAGATAAAGAAGAGAGGTGAAGAGAATGCCTATAAAGGTAGTGTTTCCCTTGGAGTTGTTAGTATGATTCGAGATCCTAATGTGCTGGCAATGTATGAAGGAAATCATGAGCAATTGGTATCAAATGAAAGCCATGAGTGTACTCCAGAGAAGGTATTTGAAAAAAATCTTTAATCTTTAAGAGTTCATTTTCAGCTTAGATCTAAAGATGATGCCTAGAGTGAATCTTTCTATTTCAGATTGGTTCATGTTCAAACTTGGAAGGAAACGACAACTCGATAAGAGAGAAGTCTTCTGTTACTAAGGGCAAGGGAAAACGGATTTCAGCTGAGAAGGAGGTAAAATGCTCATCAACCTAACATGTTTATAATGGTTTGAATTACGAAATTCTGAAAATGGAGTTTCTTTCTATTCATACTAGGTTACTGCCCCCATTGAGCTCTCAGATTCGCCTGTTGCTTCTACACAAAGAGAGGTGATTGTTGAATTGGATGACGAGATAAAAAGGAATCTCAATGATGAGTTTTCAGGCAATGGGAATGGAAAGAAGCTGAAGATTAAAATCAAGCAGGAAAAACTGTAATTGGGTTTGCAAAGAAGTGAAGATAACGTTTCGATGTTTTTGTGGAAACAACTAGTGCGGTGTTGGTTTTTTTTGGAAAACTGTATCAAGGGGCCGTATGTATTTTGGAAGTGAAACACTATGTGTGACAGACTTCAAATAACCTATATTATCTCTATAGTGTGGTGTGCTAATTTGATGATGCTATGTTGTGGACGTATTATACCTTGGTCCTCTAAAGATTGTGTATTTCTTGAGCAATTGCAGGTTTTCTACAGAGAGAAGAAATTGCTAACTTTAAGGGATGTCTTTACACATAATTCATATTGGCAAGTTTTATAAAATAATTTTATAATGACACTGACACACTTATAAATGATTTGTAGGTGAAAAAAAGTTTTAGGCGTGTGGAGACTCCTAAATGAAGGCAACAAGTTTCTAACTACGGAGTATGTTTTGAAGTATTAGGAACGTAAAATTTTGTAACTATGTTCATTCTTGAATGAGAGGTGTATTTATTTGATTTCAAAAGTGTATTCATTGGATTTCAAAGCTAAATTTGTATTGTTTATTGTAGAAGTTAATACATTTGCTATGATTGAAAATAAGAATTGGTTTTCTAATATTTCCAAAGCTAAATGGAGTTCTAAACTACAGACAACCTACAAACAATGAGAGTTGAAAATAGGGCCAATAAGGAGAGGTAAAGTGACATACCTGACCAATTGGTATGGTTGATGAAACCTGCAATCCCTAATTTTAACTAAATAATATTACAGACCTTTTTGAATGTTTACATAAATGGCAACCTTCTAAGGCTCCAGAACTATTTCTATTACATTTTTCTACATGTCAGTCATTGAAATACCTTTCAACTTGAAAATTACACCTGCAAGAATTAAGGTATAAAGAAGTCAGTATAGAGAGTCATTATATCCAATTAACTAATTCTGATCATAGAGCTTCAACAATCTGCAGTTTAATCATAAGATTTAAACAAAGTTTTAATTTTAACCAATCTGTTAAAAAACAACAACTTTGTATTTCAAACAATCATTTGGTTATTGTATAACATCAATGTACTAAATAATTATATTTATCATTGACATAATAAGCATCTATACACATAGTATGTCTTATATATATGATTTGGGTATAATAAAAGATGTTTGCTCAAGAAATTATATTTCAAGTGCAGTTGCTTTATACCACACTTGAAAATTTAACCAATGTACTTCACTTGAAACTTCTCAAACCAATCATTTCTTGAAATGGACTTTTATGTTGTTGCTAGAAAAGAAATGAGGTATATATATTTTTAAATCAAGGAAGGAGAATTAACAGAGTCATAATTTTAAGTAGAGAACACTTATTGAAGCACGTAAACATGATTTCAGTTAAAATTTGTGAAGTACATGGTTACAAAAGCAGCTGTTGAGCAGTTTTTTGGCCTAGATATGCGGGCGCAGGTATCCAATTGATTTGAAATGCCAAGCTTTTCCAATTAATAATTATTCATAGGCCATATAAGAGTTTGAAGGTAAAAAGGTTTATTCAAAGTAATATTCTTACAAAAAAACGTAGATTGAATCATTTGGTTATAACCAATCTGTTAAATCATAAAGATTTAAATGAAGTTGTTGATTTAAACCAAACTGTTAAAAATAAGCAACATCGTATTTAAAACAATCATATGGTTATTGTGAAGCATCAATGTACGTAATACTTGACAAATCATTTGACATAATAAACATAATTTATACATAGAATGTTCCGTATATATGATTTTTGTATAATAAAAGATGTTTGCTCAAAAAATTAAATTTCAAGTGCAGTTGCTTTTTTGTAAAGGAATACTCCGTATTTAGAATTAACCACTAAGAAGTAATAATATATAGTGACTTACTGTGTTTAGGAGTACATAGTGATAAGAAAGACATTAAATACATACGAGTTCACTATCAAATCAGAGGAAATAGGATGACAGTTAGGTCTGCACATTTAATAAAAGCATACACAGGAAACAAGGATACAAACCAAGTACATGATTTTTATAATTATGAAAATCTTTTTTCGGCAGACATTTTTTATTAATAACATTTTTAAACATGTTTTCAACACATTTACACATGGTCTGCTCGCATTAAATGAACCAACCTGCAGGATCCCAATACTAGGATGGCGTGTAGGTCTGCTCATTAAATGAGCACAGGCAGCAGGTACCTATCACAATTAATAACAAATATTACTTACCGGTGGTCAATAACCATTACTGCAGTCTGGGTGCATATATACCATTGTAAATGCATTTACTCTCTGCTCAGAAACTCATTTACTCAACTCAACCATAACATCTAAACAAAGCAGACTGCCACTGTTTCCAGTATAAAGTCTGAGCATTGATATTTCTACACAAACCTAAGGTATGTTTTCTACTATGATTTTGAATGACAAAATGATCTACAAATGATATAAGTACCAGTGAAATCTTTTTTATGCTAAACATAATGAAAAAAATTGAATTCAGTTTTAATACTTTTATTTTCTAAAAAACTTAATGACAAAAATTGAACTTTGCTGTTTAAGATGAGGTGCTGTTCATGTTCAAAATGCAACGCTCCAAAATGTCATACATGTGGAAAACACCCGGGGCTGTTTTGGTTGGTACCATGCTATTGGTGTAATAAAAATTTAGGTCACTTTTACTGCATGAGGCCTCTAAACAAGAAAAGGTATACTGGGAATTACATATGCCAACAATGTCAACAATGTCTAGATGCAGGCCCTATAATACCTAGAAGATCAGGTCGGCCTGTAACACTCAACTACAAGTACTTCAATGAAAACGTCACTGTGGGGATGAGTTTTGGTTGGCTTAAAATGGCATGATTGTATTCATGCATACTATGTACATGAAATATGCTTATGGTTTTTGTGGGATATGTAAGAGCCAAGCTGTTTTGTTTTTTGCAAATTGTGTGACATTTATGATCTCAAATAATCCTAGGCCATGTTTGTATTCTATGTAATGATTGTAATGTAATGTTATGTTGATGGTTGTATGCATATGCTTTTTTGAAGAAACACAACTGAAGAATGGTTTGATGAATATATAAGTTTATGCATTTCATAGGTTTTTCAGTACATGTTGAAATCCAAACTATATGGAATGCAAAGATGTTTTTGAAAAAATTGTAGAAATGTGAAGTTTTATTTACTTTACATTACTGGAATGTATGGCAATGGGTTAGGTTACATGTATTAAGGCCATATATGACTGCCAGACCACGCAGATCCGAAGGCCACTTAGGTGGCTGGCAGGGAATCTGACAGCATATAGAATTGGCCAACTTACTAACAACTCTTCAATGAAGAGGATCACCAAAAGCACCACAATCAACAGAAAAAGAAAGCTTGAAGACTTGACCAACAAAGGTAGTTTTATATGTTTATATTGTCTGAACTGATTTATAAGTTCAATAGTCCAGAGTCACAAATACAGATAACAGAATTGATAAACACCATTTATGGATGTATTAATTTCAAAAAAATGTAGTGTGTCAAGATAGCATATAAAATATATGAACTCAACAACAAGCTTTGAAACCGAACATTTCCAGAAGTAAACAAATAAAAAATACAGTTTATAAAATAAATTTGTCTCAGCCTTTGTAGATCTTTGAATACTATTGTTTGATTACAAACTGTATAGATCTGATTCGACAAAGTGTTAATTAAAAAAATGCAAGTACAAGACATATATCAATATGGTCTGAGATCATTCAATATCACTCAGCCTTCATAAATAACTGATACAAAAAATAATTTAGGAGAAATCCAAATACGGTTGAATACATCTGAGATCCTTTATTAATCATCACTCAGCGTTCGTGTCATTCATTTGGTATGGATCTACAACAAATTTCAAACTAAAGATACCAACAGACTCTAAATATTCAACATTATCATATTAAACAGATAACCTGCCGGTTTAAAAACAAAATACCAGAATAATTATCATATTAAACAGATGACCTGCCGGTTTAAAAACAAAATACCAGAATAATAAGAGATCTAAAACAATCCACAACTTTTCGTTTAAAATCGTATAGATCTGTGCTTCAAAATTGGAATCTTATTATCCAATTGACATGCAAGTGCGAAGCAGTTAGCAGTATTAGGTCTGAGATCATTAGGTATCACTCAGCCTTAGTATAAAATAAACAATGGCATGTTCATATATGACTGCCAGACCACACAGATCCGAAGGCCACTTAGGTGGCTAGCAGGGAATCTGACAGCATATAGAATTGGCCAACTTACTAACAGCTCTTCAATGAAGAGGATCACCAAAAGCACCACAATCAACAGAAAAAGAAAGCTTGAAGACTTGACCAACAAAGGTAGTTTTATATGTTTATATTGTCTGAACTGATTTATAAGTTCAATAGTCCAGAGTCACAAATACAGATAACAGAATTGATAAACACCATTTATGGATGTATTAATTTCAAAACCATGTAGTGTGTCAAGATAGCATATAAAATATATGAACTCAACAACAAGCTTTGAAACCGAACATTTCCAGAAGTACACAAATAAAAAATACAGTTTATAAAATAAATTTGACTCAGCCTTTGTAGATCTTTGAATACTATTGTTTGATTACAAACTGTATAGATCTGATTCGGCAAAGTGTTAATTACAAAAATGCAAGTAAAAGACATATATCAATATGGTGTGAGATCATTCAATATCACTCAGCCTTCATAAATAACTGATACAATTTTTTTTAGGAGAAATCCAAATACGGTTGAATACATCTGAGATCCTTTGTTAATCATCACTCAGCGTTCGTGTCATTCATTTGGTATGGATCTACAACAAATTCCAAACTAAAGATACCAACAGACTCTAAATATTCAACATTATCATATTAAACAGATGACCTGCCGGTTTAAAAACAAAATACTAGAATAATAAGAGATCTAAAACAATCCACAACTTTTCGTTTAAAATCATATAGATCTGTGCTTCAAAATTGGAATCTTATTATCCAATTGACATGAAAGTGCGAAGCAGTTAGCAGTATTAGGTCTGTGATCATTAGGTATCACTCAGCCTTAGTATAAAATAAAATGAATACATCAAAAAAGGGGGAAATACCGAAATCAAGGAGACATGAGGTCTGAAGTGTTTACATCCTTACTCGGTC